TTTGTTTTTCACTCATTAAAGATGTAAATTAATATGCATTCACATGTTGTGTGAGATGAGATTTAGATGAACATGAATGTTTTTAGTTTTTTATTTTAATTTTAATGAATTTTATAACTCTAAATTTTTAAAGAAAATGATATATACACCTTGTAAAGTTACACATTTTATTACACATTGACAATTTCTGTTACCATCCACTGCACACTTCCCTCATAACTCTCCAAATGCCCTTTCTTTCTCTCTCTCATTATTTCGGCCTTACACACATAAAACAAGTCTGTTTTGGAATAATATAGCAGAAAGTGGAGCACATGTGAGTCGAGCTAATCAACATAAAAGGGAAAAGAAAATAGGGAAAATTTTTGTAGTTTAGGTACTATGCGTAGTTTTGTCAAATCTACAAAAGTTCACCATTGGATTGAGTTGAAATTTTATCTGGTGTTTCAAAAAATATTGATTTACATTCTAAACGGTCAAGTTTTGTCAGTTAAATCCCCATTTTGGTCTTTTTACTTTGGTAAACAGCTCTTTTTTAGTCTTTTTACTAAAAAAACCCCTTTCTGGTTCCTAAATTTTGCAATCTGACCTATTTTTAGTTCTTCCGTTAAGTTTTGCATATGTGACATATTAAATGATGAAAATTTTAAAGTGAAGGGACCAAAAAGGGCTAAAAAAGGTAAAAAAAATAACCCCAATTTGATCCTTCTACTTTGAAACCCCAATTTGGTCCCTCTACTTTTAAAAAACCCCCTTTCGGGTCCATTTCCTTTGAAATTTCCATCATTGAACCTTAAAACTTAATGGAGGAACCAAAAAGAAATCAGATTTCAAACATTTGGGACTAAAAAAAGTAGATGGACTAAAAAGGGCTTTTTACCAAAGTAGAGTGACCAAATTAAGGTTTTAGCCTTTTTTGTTTGGAACTTTGTAGGTTATGATTTTGTGCTCAAAATAGTAGTTTATTTTTGGTGATCTGGTTTTTTGCAGTTATGGTACTATGTATAGCTTTGCCATTTTGTCCAATTTGCAAAAGTTCACCATTATATTGAGCTAATTTTTTTTTTTTTTTTGGTGTTCAAGAGACATTTATCTATATTATGAATGGTTAGTTTTTCATTTGGAACTTTGTAGGTTCTGATTTTGTACCTAGAACAATAGCTCATTTTAGGTAAATTGTCAGTGGTAACAGATTAAATAATGCAGACTGTCAGT